CAAACTGCTGCTCTGCTGCACTTGTGTCGTTTCACAAGAACTTTGGTTCCTCCAGGACCCAGACTAAAGCCAGAACACTGTTCACAGCCCCAGTTCAGTGCCAAGTTGCTTCTGTTTATATAAAATGTCACCTTCACAGGCCAGTTTAAAAGAATGTTAGATTTCTAATTCAGTGTTTTCAGCCCCAGTAATTGTGCTATCAATTACAACCACTTGATTTACAAACTTTGTAACAACTGCGCTGGAACAAGTGCAGATTTAACTCGCAGTTATTTTTCTCAACACAAAACTGAATGGAGGGAAGGGTTACGTGTGTGCCGTGTTTTGAAAGCCTCCTAGTTGCAGAAATTGAAAAGAACAAGTGAATGAATCTTGAAAATTTAAATTGGCTTTCAAAATTACCAGAGAAAACCAAAACTAAGGTCGTTCCAATGGAAGAAAAAGCTGAAAAGAAGGAGGCATTAAACCCAGGCAGGTTTAATGGCCTCTGCAGAAAATGCATAGCTGCAATGGAGAGACAAAACTCAATGATTAAAATAAGATATCAAGGTTAAGAATAAGGCACAACTTCGTTTTGCTATTGGGGGGGGACGGGGGGGGAGGAAAAAAGAGGGGGGGGGGGGGGGGGGGAGGGGGGGGGGGGGGGGGGGGGGGGGGGGGGGGGGAGGGGGGGGAGGGGGGAAAGGAATAGCACATTAACAACCTTAAAAATCCGCTCGTTAAAAAAAAAAAACAAAAAAAAAAGGGTCAGGTTTGTTTGGTCGCTTCGAACGCGGACACAGCAGAACGTGGTCAGCGCAGAGCGGGGCTCGCTCCCCGCGGCCTCCCGGCCCGGTCCCCCCTCCCACAGCCCGGGGGGCTTGGGGGTCGCAGCCGTGACACGGCCCCGCGTGGGTCGGGCCCTGAGACCGGGGACGGCCAAGGAGCTTCCCCGCTGGAAGGAGAGTCCTCCCAGCGACAATCCTGCCGGCGAGGATCCTCTCAGCGCCGATTCTTTCCTCCGCCCCCCGCTCCCCTCACGCTCCCGCCCGGGCCGCGCCGCCGCCATTTTCTCCGCGGCGAGGAGCCTGCGCAGGGCGCGGGGAGGAGGAGGGGGGGGAGGGTGCTCGGGCCGCCGCGCGAAGCAGCGCGGCCCCAGCGCGGCTCACGCAGCGGGCTCGGCCTGTCCCCTCCCCGCGCCCCGTGGCGGTGCGGCCGCAGCGCAGCCCGCCCTCAGGGCCTCGGTGGGGCCCCGGCACTTACGCGGAAGAACCCGGCGTCCATCTTGGCTCCTCCGCCTCCTCCCGGCCGCGGCGCGCGCTGCCGTCCCGGCGTGCACCGCGCACCCCCCCAGCCGCGCCGGGGGAGGAAGAAGGGGCGGGGAGAGAGAGCGCGAGGGAAGGGGCGGGGCCACAAGGCGCCTGCCCATTGGTTGGAGGGTCGGACGGGGGCCAATCAGAGAGCGTTCCGCGGCGGCGCGCGCGCGCGCGGGAGTGTGTGCGTGTGTGAATGTGTGACTCCTGCTCTCGCGAGATGTTGACACGCGCGGCTGGTTGCGACGCCGTTGTCTCGCGAGATCTCGCGTGCCCTCGCGGGGGCCGTGACTACCCCGCAGCGATGGCGGCGCGGACGGTTCGTGAGGGCGCGGCGGCTCCGGCCCGCGGGAACAGCCCCCGGACCGACACGACGGGGGGTTCGCGACGGAAAACGGGGCTCTGCAGCCGTCACAGAATGACGGAATGGTTGGGGTTGGAAAGGCATTCTGGAGATCACACAGTCAGTGGCAGGGTCACCTGGAGCAGGTGACACAGGAACGCGCCCAGGTGGGTCTGGAATGTCTCCAGAGAGGGAGACTCCACGCCCTCCCTGGGCAGCCTCTGCCACCTCCACGGAAAGAAGTTCTGCCTCATGTTGAGGCGGAACTTGTTATGTTTTGCTTTATGTCCATTACTTCTCGTCCTGTCGCTGGGCACCATTGAAAAGAATCCGGGACCATCCTGTGACACCCCTGTGTGGATTGATGAGATATTTGTATGGATTTATGGGTCCCCTCTCAACCTTCCGTCCTCCAGACTGACCAGGCCCAGCTCCCGTGGTGTCTCCTCATCCCAGAGATGCTCCAGACCCCAAATCATCTCTGCAGCCTCCACTGGACCCTCCCCAGCACCTCCTCGTCCTTCTTGTCCTGAGGAGCCCAAAACTGGACAGAGACACTGCTGTGAGAGTTCTCTCCCCACACCTCAGGCATCAGTGTCCAGGACAGCAAACTGGTGTGACTGGTGCTGGCACAAACTGGTGTGACTGGTGCAGGTCACACGAATGTGACCTGCTGAAAGATGTGGGAGTAAAGTTACACCTCACTGAGGTCAATACAAATTTACCCACAGTGACAGCCTCGGGTTTTATCCAAAAGTAACTCCTATGCCTTTCATCCTTAATAAGGATAGTTTGCTTTAAATAAAAAATTAATAATAATAAATAAAATTAATTGCTACTCAAAGCACCACAGCTGCTTCCTGCTTCAGCAGCAGCCCTGTGAGAGACACGTGAGAGACACGTGGGTTTGTGGTTGTGTTTTTGGGAGATAAATTGTTTATGGGACTCGGGAATAAAATCCAAAGAACATTCTTGTATTTTATCTGCTTAGACCTGCCATGATCTGTGCTTTGCACGGCCAAACCTGGAGGAGTTCTGGGCTCAGCTGCTCCAGCACGGTGGATTGAGGGGAAGGAGGACTGGGATGGGGGTCAAGGTGGTGTCAGGAATTCAGTTGTCAGCTAAACTTGGAATTGCTTTGTGGTTTTGTTGGGAAAGGCGAGTTCCAGGCGGCCGGGAGGGAGGAGGACACTAGGTGGAGCTCCGTGCTCTCTGCTGGGGTATGAGGATGAAGATGAGGGGTGAGAGCTGCCGCCCTGCAGGAGTTTTGGGGTCGGGACTTACCCAGCGGTGCAAAATTAAACATTTTACCAGCCTATTTGCATCTCTTAAAGTGCCAGCTGTGAGACTGAAGGACCCGACCTGCTGAAGGTACTCCAGAAGACTTTGAGGAGCAAAAAAAAAAAAACCCCACCACTGATTCTTGCAAGACCAGCTCTTAACTCTGACCATCGAACAAACTTGTAGTGATATTTTTTTCTCTGCCCTGCGGCCCCAATGTCCTCGTTGTCACTGCTGAACCAAAGCACAGAGCAAGGGGCTGGAAATGTTGCTTGTTCCTCCCAGGGAGAAAGGCCCTGGGGCCACGAGTGCCCAAATCTTGTTAATTTGCAGAGTTTCATGGATAATCTCCAGCGAGTCTTGTGTGGATCACGATTAAAGTGTTGCACTCACACTGCCTGTTCTCTCCACAGCTTTCAGTGTTTCTTTAACCAGCTGGTTTCCCTGGGGGCAGGAGAGCAGCAGGGGCAGCTGAAGGGGGGCTTTCCCAAAATCTGGGCCTTTGGGAGTGGAATCAGGGAGCCAAGACGGGGCAGGTCGAGTCAGCACTGAGGCGGCGCAAGGGAGAGCGTGGGATTGTTCCTGGAAAACTTAAATCCACAGCAAATTACACAAGTGGAAATACAGGGGGGTTTTTGTTTCTTAGGAAGGTGATTTTGCTTGCTCAGCACAAGCTGCCAGGAGGGGATGGTGGGGGCCTCCCAGGATGGGCCAATACGAGGCAAATTTTTACTGGGATTGGAATTTTCTCGATTGAGCAAATGCTGGTGAGGCCACAGCAGTGACTCTCCTGCCAGGAACAGCAATTCTACAAAAGCAGAGTTGCTCACAGTAGCTCTGCTTATTCTGCTCGTGAACTTCAGTGGTTTGAAATGAAGTAAATGGAAAGTAAACAAAATTTGCTAGAAGTAGGTCTGGCTGGTGATGTTGAGCATAACAGTAGGATGGAGCTTATCTTTTCTAAAGGTCTTGGTTTCAATACATGCCCAGAGAACATCCTTAGCTGATCAGAGATAGCAACAGAAGGTCAACTCCTTCATATTTTTTAGGAAAAAAATTAGATTTGCATCTGCTGTCCCTTCTGAATGATTAAATCAATCACCCCTGCCACAAAAAATAAGAGAACTAGGACAAGTAAAATATTTACAGCGAGATTCAGAAACTTCACAAGCAGCTGTCTCAATATTTAGCTTGGAATTCAAACCCTGCTCCAGTTTCAGACAAAAAAAAAAATATTGCAAAGTAATTGAATTTAGTTTCTGCACAAAAAAAAACCCCAAAAAACCAACCCAAACCCAACAAACCACAAGTTAGTAAAAGTGACCTGTTCAAGAGGTGGCTTCTTGGAAAAAATATATAAAAAGTAGATCAAGTTGTCCCCCAGTCCCTCCCCACCCTCCCCTGAGGACGGGGGGATTCAGGGATGTACCTGTTGGTGACGTGTTGGGAAGAAGCTGCAGGACAAAAAGCTCTAAAGCTGGAGGTTCTCTGATCACTTCAGTCAGACAACAGTAACTTCTCCCTCTGTTCCAGTGAGTGATTCCATAAAACTTAAGCTCTGTGTGTCAGGGAGTGGAGCTGTTCCCCAGAGCCTCATGTCCTTCCCTTTAAGACGAGGTTTAACTCCTCAACTCCTTCCTAAAATCCTTCCTGTCTCTGTCAGCCCGTTGGGGGCTGCTCTGACACCCCCTCAGACAATCAACCACTGATTGACAATGCTGCTCTGTGCTCCCACTCAGTGGGCTGTGAATATCCCTGGGAATTCCTTTGTGGCATTGCTGTACACCCACAACCATCACACTCACAAAACAACATCGTTTTTCTCAGTTCCTTTCTAGGATAAAAAAATTTCTAAAAATAGTTGGAGCCCGGTCTGCACCAGAGAACAAAGCCTTGCAGGGGGGGAGTGGCACACTGGGGCTCTGCAAAGCCTCACTTGCTTTATAAAAGGTTATTCCTTCTATTTCCAGGGTTATTTTTCCAATTAAAGAACTCACATTTTGTGCAAGACAAAACATTCTCAGGCAGCTCCAGCCCTGGACCCGAAGCGATTCTCGAGAGTGAAAACCCTCAGACACCCGAGCTCCTTTGGAAATGGAGAGTTACATGGTTTATAGAAATAGTTTAAAAATACTTGAAAATAAAAAGTACCCTTTTATCTCAACCCATACACACGTGGGCTTAGAAACACGACAGGTGAGTAACGATAAATACAATTCTGATGCTTCCTGTGCCATCCATCGTGTGTAAAACACACCACAAACCTGTGCCATGTAATTCACAACAAACCCAGCTCCAACCTGAGTTGTGGCACGTCCAGATTTTTCTTCCTGTTTACCAGCAGAACAGAGAAAGTTCAAACTCTGAGCCAGCAAAAGCTCCACAAAATCTGAGCTGGCGCCTTCTCGCTTCATCCGCTCTCCCCACACCCCGGGCTCTGATGATTCCTGTGCCTCCACCAGCTGATTTCAGCCACAGGAAGAGTGTCCAGACCTCTTATTTTTCCTCTCAAAGAGAGAAATCAGGATTAATTACAATCCACAGGCAAAGCAACAGCCTGTTGCTGTTCCAAAAAGCTTTGCTGAGGAGTCCCAGGTCCGCGTGAGCGACAGTTCCACCTCTCGTCTGCCGGGGAGGACGAGTGTTCCCGGTTACCTGTCGTGCAGGTGGATGTCCACAGGGATGAAGGTCACCGTGGGAGGCTGGCACAGGCCGTGGCTGTTGTGCCCCAGAGGAGGTGGCATCGCTGCCTTGGGGGGTTTGGGTTCCAGCTCCCGCTTCACCCGCATGCGCCTGCAGAGGGAACGGGACCGTCAGCGGGGTCGGTGCTCCCGTGGGGAGGGTTGGGAAGGTTCCCACAGAGCCAGGTTGCATTGTACAGTTATTTGAAAGTCAGTAAAAGCCAGGATTTCACCCCAAAGAATCAACAGGAATAAGAGGAAGCGCAGAGCTACAGCTGAACCCTGATGGGCTGGTAAGGATTCAGAGCAAACCCACGGCCTGGGAAGTTTATCCAGGAAAACAACGTGACTGATGGAACACATGGAATTTAATCCATGTCATTCCCTGGGCCTGGAGGAAGGGGCTCAGCACCAGCAATAACAGCAGCTGTCAATGAACCAAATGATAACAAATAAGAAAAAAACTCAAAATTCTGAGCTCCCCGACCACTTTGGTCAGAAAGCACCCGGAATGAGCAACATGACACGCTGCAAAGTCATCACACATTGAAAGGGAACAAACTACTGACATTCCCATTTGCTATTGCAGAGCATGGGAATCCTAAAGATTGCCTGTGGCACAGGCACTTAACAGGATTAAGCCTGTTTAAAACTCTTTAAAATATCTGCAGTCTGCTGTGTGGCTCAGAACAAACACAACACTTGCCAGTTCTCCCAGCAATTTAATGTTCTTTTTTGAGGTTTTTTTTTTTCAATTTCTTTTTTCAATTTCATCCCAAAGGAACCAAAGTGGCAAGTCAGTGCTTCCAGAGCATGAGAAGTGAGAAATCAAGCTCCCCTCTGGCAGCTTTGCTGCATGCTCAGACCTTCCCTGCATCCACAGGAATCCCTAAAAGGAGCTTCCACCAAGCATCCCCCATGAAGGAATTCTGCTTCCTAACAACCCAGTCACAGAGCACTGACTGGGAGAATCAGGACACTTCCAGCAGCACACTGAGGTTTAGATTCTTCTGGAAACTGTCAACAACAGATCCTGAAGTGCTCTGCTGGCTGAGGGCGGGGACTTTGGTCCATTTTGGTGAACACAGAACTTGGCCACGTACCTGTTGTACGTTTTCAAGGTGAGCAGAACCACTGTAAAAATGATGATCACTCCTACCACGATGGCAGCAACTATTGCTCCAGAACCTGGGAGAGAAACAGGGAGGAGAAAAAACAACCCCTTATTTACAAGGTTGTCACTGTACTCTTTGAAGTTTGGTAAGTACAAAGGTCCACTTAAAAAAATAAAATAATAAAATAAAAAAAGCCAGCAGCCCATTCCTTTTCTTACTTTGGTAGAGACTTTGTTCTTGAGACTTTGTGGTCACGTTCCCTGAGAGCTGGGTGTTGTTGCTCAGTGGCGTGGCCGTCGTCATCTTGATTCAGCTGCAGGGGGAAACAGGGCAGTGAGTTCATAAAACATTAATGAAATATCAAACCCAAGTTTGACAGTGATAATTAGGCAACTGTCCGTTAAAGGGTCAGAACCTACTAAGTGAGGGTTCACCGAGCTGGGGTTCTTAATGTTTGCACTGTGGTGAAAATCTGGAACGGAAATTTCGCCCCAATCTTGAGCAGTTTGCTTTAAAATATCCCCTGTTTGGTATTAAAAGGATAAAATAAGACATAAACACAACAATGCATTGTTGCTATGTACCATTGCTGTTTGGAATAATGGGTATTTTAAAAGCTTTAGGATTTTTAGATTGTCATCTCAGGTTGAGATACAAGTGTGAGAGATTCTGCACCCAGAATTCAGCAACGTGTCTTGAGGGAAGGGGAAAAGTCAGCACAGAAAGGTTTAAAAACTCCATTCTAAAAGAGAATTTAGAGTAGTTTCATTCATCCCATGTGAGGAAGCCTGATTTGAAGCTCCAGAAGTTCCATGGCAAACAAGAGCCATCCCAGGACAGGGTCACTGCTGTGACAGAGGGTTGGTGTGAGTTCAGCCCAGCACCTCCCTCGCCCCGGTGTCACCTCAGCTCTGTTGTTGGAAGTGGACAAGCTTCCAAGTGGACAGCTGAAAATATGCCTGTTCCCGGGTTTGAGTAAAACTAGATCTAGAAAAAGCAGCCTGGATGTTCCCTGGTTTTATAAGCCTTTTCCAAATGTTTTCTCAGTGTACCTGGTAACCTGAGCCATTAAAGGGCTCCTTCAGCCCGAGGGAGGTGTGAGCACCACTTCCAACAGCCCTCTGGAACCACTGCAGCTCCCAGCTCCAGAGAGCTGGGACACTCCAGCTATCCTTTGAAAAGTAAATTATTCTTCAACACTCCATATGGAATTGAGTTTCCCATTTCAGATGCTTCCCAGTACAACCAGGCAGGGCTCTGTTATACTCCACTGGGATATCGTGGCCCTGTGGCATGTTCTTGGTGCAGGTAATTTTGCACAGCACAAGACACACGACAGCCAGGAATAATTCAGTGGATAGAAATCAGCTGGTAAGAAAAATAACTGGGAATCTGACAGGCAGCCTGCCCTCCCTTCCCCCTGCTGAGGCTTTCCCAAAGGTTTCTGCAAAGTAGCCTCTATCCAACACCACACAGGGTGGCAGGCACAGATTTGGGAGGCAGGAGGACACAATGGGATGGACAGGGACAGGCAGGGGGTTGTCTGGGGAGGGCACCAGCTGAGTCAACACACGGTGTGTCCTTGGGAGGCTCCGTGGCAGGAATGAGAGGGATCAAGGACCAGCAGGAAGGGAAGCAGTCAGGGTTTGCCTGGGGATGTGGGATCAGGACTGCAAGGTCCATTTCACCAAACACTTCAGTCCCCCAAAGGTAAAAAGTTTGGGTTTCTTCCTTTAATCTAAACCCCCAAAATAACTCTGTCCCGAGCCTGTGACTGGGTCGTTCTCCTCTGGCTGAATGATGCCTTTGTTCAGCCCAGGCCACGTTAATTCAGCAGCACGAACAGCAGCTGCAGATCTTTCAACACGGAAATATTTTGTGTTTAGAGCTTGCCCAGCCTTGTGGTGCAGCACAGGGAAAGGGTTCACACACACCTGGGGGCACCTGAGAGGTACCAGGGCTCAGGGAAGAGCTGTCCCTGCCCCTCCCCACCACTCAAAACTGTGGGGATGGGGGTTGTACATTGGCAGCAGAGGCTGAAGAGCCTCTCCATCCCTCTGCAGGCTGGGGAAAGCTGGGCATGGGCAAAATTCAGAAAATTCAGAAAAAAACACGTCCAACTGTCACCTTGTGGCTCCTGACCAGAAGAGCTCAAACCCCAGGCTCACAGGAGTGTTCTGCCCCTCCTCTGGCTGCTAAAATAAAACCCCCCAAATAAATAAGGCTGAATAGTTTGATATTAGGTCATGTAATACTCCTGCTTCCTACCTTCCACCTGGTTCAAACCACCTTGAGAAGGGTTGAGCTGTTTGTGCATGAGTCACCCAAACCCAAAGGATTTTTACTGTCAGTGAAACCTCCTGTTTACGAAAAGGATTAATTGATCTGCCAGGGTGGGAACAAACAATTGGAAAAATGCATCAGGTCAGGTTTTTTCTCAATGGTGCAGCAAGTCAAGAGGTCCAAGGCCTGTGTCTCCAAGGTCTGTGTCTCCAGCCAGGGCAGGAGGGGCCTGTCCTTTACCTGCAGCAAGTCCCTGCCCCGTGAATCAGCAGGTTCCACCTGACCAAGCCCCTGCTGCAAGACTCAGGGACCCAGCAAAGCCCAGCAAAATCCATGGGAACCCACTGCTTTTGGGGCATTGCAGCCTGGATCCCACTCTGTATGGGAAAGCACATGGAAAGTCAGGAGTGCTGGACAAAAGCCGTTCAGCAGGGGAGAAGAAATGGACTTTGATACAGCAATCACAGGACATTCCTTCTCCATGACACACTGCTGCACTTCCCCCTGTGCACACACACCTGCCTGGCCTTTGAGAGCCTCTAACTCACCCAGCCTGGGGGTGGAGGCTCACACTGCTGGTTGTTTTACAGAGCTGCAAATGTTTCCATAAAGTTCAGCCTCGGGCCCGTTTCCATGTAAAACACCTTGGCAGACACAGTGTGTGGGTTGTTTTGGCCCGTGGGAGCGATGCCCCCGTTGGTACAGCCCTCCTGCCCCCCCTGCCCTGCCCAATTTCAGCTGGGGGGGCCCCCCTGCTCCTTCAGGAGGGGCTGGGGATCAGAGCTCACCCATCAGCAGCTCCTGCACAATTACAGGAGAGGGGGGACAGGGAACAGAGGGCTCCGTTTGAGTCTTTATCCAGGAGAGCTGGGCTTGGAGAACCAAATCCCTGCTGGGGAAGGCAGGTGCTGGTGAGGAATGCACCCAAATTCAGTGCTTGGCCACCTAGAAAAAGGTGGGGTTTGCATGGAGCACCTTCCCAGCATCACTGGGAACATCAGCAGGGATTGGGACAAGCAGCGACTTCAGACTGAGATAAAAACACCACGTGCTTCAGTGGGACCTGAATGTGCCCAGATCCACCCTGAGGGGCTCTAAAGAGGGAGGAAGGAGGGAAAGAAACCCCGAGTTCAAACTGCTGGGGGGCAGCTGGGGCAGAGCTGTGGCCTCAAGGGAACAGCCCCTGCCTGTGCGAGCCCCTTCGTGCCCCCACGTCAGAGCAGCACCTTCGTGTGTTTGCTCAGGGTCTGGCACGAGCTCCCCAGGTTTAGCTGTTGTTAAAACACACATTAAAAGCTTTCCATTTCCTTGCCAGGCCAGAGAAAGTTCTGCAAACTGCAGCAGCTCTGTGCAGCAGCAGCACCAAGGAGGGGAGCCCAGTCACCCTCCCTGGCTTGTGTGGTGAGAGGGGCTCAAACCCCTCAGCTCGCACAGGTGACATGGGCTGAGGGAGGGAGAACCAAATCCCTGGGAAGAAACCCCCTCATTTCCAGAGCCACACCTGGGAATATGAACCCCACAGACTTTTGTCCCTGACTTGCCCAGGAGCAATGCCTGAACGAGGCCGTGAACTGCACATTTCCCAGTTCTAATCCTCTTTTTTTTTGCGTTAAAATTCTGGGCCACACACATTTTTCCCCTCCCTCTGGGTGAATGGACTTATTCATGGGAACGGCAGCAACTCCACCATGTGCAGCAAAGTGCATTCAGACCCTAAAAAACCACCCCAGACCCTTCAGGGTAGGGCTGCCCATGCAGGCAAGCCAGGATGGGGAAGCAAAACAAGCCAGAGGTATTTTCCCACTGGTTACAGGCCAGGATCTGAGGCACACTGGGATCAGAAGCCTTGTGAAATATCCAACAGAACCAGGGTTTGAAGTTAGAATGGAAAAAAACCCAGCAAGCACCACCACCCTGCTGGAGCTCCTGCAGCTCAGAGCCTGGGCACAGAACTGCCCAGGGGGGGCTGCTGGGTTGGGCTCAGATGCCTGTTCTTAATTTTTGTGCCTTTTAAACAGCCCAAATCACCCCTTTTTCCCTGACAAATATCATATGTGTCACCTAGAGCTTCCCACCCTGGACCCAGGCAGGATTTACTGCTTGTCTGAGCTTCCAGGCAGGAAGCTGGGATGCATAAAATCCCCTCCCCATCCAGAAATGCCAAACAGACCCGAATTTTTCAAACTAATACATCATCCAAGAGAAAAGGGTCTGTTTAACCTGCTGTGGTTACTTAGTGAGGTCCTTAAAAGGCATCTGCAATAAATCATTTGGTCCCGTGGCTGCATTTGCAGGAGGTGGAATTACTTTGTTATCTAGGTCCAAAATAATTCATTAAGAGGAAATGGAATAAGATTTTAAACCCAAATTCCCATTTACATGCACTGCACAGATGATACATCAAGAGAGAGCTGGGAGCAAATTTGAAGCTTATTCCTGAAAGCAATGCTAGAGGCTGTCTTTTGTTGGCAGCTTTTTTAAATGATTATTAGAAAGCTCTTATTCTACATTTTTAGCTTATGACTCTACACACAGACACCAAATTAACCAACTCCAAGTGGTGTAACCAAGAGCTGGCAAATGAGAACTCTCACGGGATCCAACTCACTATAACAAAGAGGAGAAGATGCAATGATCTGGTTTTGGGAGAAGAGATTCCTGTCCAACCACACTGAGCCATGTCCAGCCATATTCCCTAGGAATCCTTAAGGGTTCAGTCATCCCTGCACAGATTCAATAGCTCAGATCACGGCTGCTCATCTGGAAATCTGGGATACACCCCCCCTGCAGCAAGTCCTGTGCCTTCTGGAAGGGATTGGAGGCACTTCTACACTACATGTTACACCACATGGGTTTGGATACCCCAGCACATCCCAGAAATGCAGCTCCTGTGCTGGAGGCAGCTCATGAGCAAACAATTCAGTCAGGGAAGGCACCAGGAGGGAGAGAATTCCCTGTACAGAACAAGGCCTGAGGCTGATTCCCAGCTCATCTGGACTCAGCGGGAGCTGGGAGATCATTCCATGCTCAAAGAAAGAGCTTCACAGAACCATATCTGTGAGCAGCAGCTCCCACCAGTGCCTGCAGCACAATTAACCTGGGATTTGGGAATGAAAAACGGGGTCTGGTGGGTTGCAAGACCCACCACAGCAACGGGGGAAGAAAACCCACCTGCGCTCGTGCACGTGAAGGTGATGGTTGTTAAAGCAGGTACAAAGCATCACAGGAGCCCCAAAACACAACACAGGAGCCCCAAAACACGACACAGGAGCCCCAAACCCATGGCACAACCCAGACTTTTTTGCTTGCAGCAGGGTGGTTCTGCCCATTGCTCACATCCCACGCTCTGGGAGGGTTCCTGGGAATGCTCATCAGGTGGGGGGCACGGGAGGGAAGGACCTGTAATCAGCAGTTAAACATTACCCAGAGAAAAAACTGATTCAGAGAGGAGAAAAATGCCTCCAGGCACCTGCAGGAGTCTCTCAAGGCAGGAATGGCTCCTGGGGGATGGTCAGTGAGACTTGAGGGGACAGATGTTGGAGACCATCAGTGTGGGCACTCAAACGGAAAGCAAGAGGATTCATCCGAGCTGAGCCCTCAGTTAGAGCCTGGCAGGGGTCAGTGGCATCGTGCCAAGCACCCCCAAATCCCACCACCCAACAGTTTATCTCTGCTGTTCAAAGAAGTTCCAGCCAAGTGCCTGTTGGTGGCAAGTTCTGGACAAATAAAGCACAAAAACGCGGCTCGTCCGTGAGGACATTTCCCACAGCGGAAAGTCAACCCCGCTTGGAGCACGTAACCACCTAGAAAAGGCCCTGCCACTGCTCTGGAAAAGTCCCCACAGCTTTTCAGATTGCTGGAGGAGAGAGTTTAAAAAAAAAAAAAAACACAACACTGCAGACTCAGCAATGTGTTTGCAGAAGTGCTTCCCAGGCTCTGGATCTGCCATTTCCCGAGCGGCTGGAGCAGCTCAGGAGGTTGGGGAAATCCTCTGTCACCTGCCATTTTCCATCAGAGCATCTGCTTTACTCCAGGCAAACCCCATAAATGCTCCACAGCAGGAGGGAGGGGGTCAGGGCTGAATTTGGAGCTCCCCCACCCCGAGCTGTGTTTCTTTTGGAGAGTGGATTGGCACAAACATACGTGACCCCACACTGCTCCCGTGGGCTGCCTTTCCTAAAGGCACATCTGCTGGGTTGAAGGTTTTGAGGCTTCCCTTACAAGGCTGATATATCAAGAGGGAATTTGCCTTTCCAAGGGATTCTTTGGGTTTCTGCAGGAACACAGCAGAGCCTGTGTGATGCTCTGGGTTGGCACCGTGGGCAGCCCCCCGGGGCTGATTCATGGGCTCCTTCACCCTCCTCACCCCCAGCACTGCCAAATCCCACCAAAGAGCACCTTCCCAGCAAGCCCAGAGCTGAGTGGTGCAGTGCTGATGCTACATGGGATGAATGTGGGGGTGTGTTTGCTCCAGGGGCTGCCCCATCCCAGTGGGACTGTGGTACAGGCAGAGCCCCTTCCTGTGCCCTCCCACCCAGCCTGGCACTTGAAGCAGCTGCACCTTCAGCCTCGTGGCTGGGCAGGGGCATCCCTGGCTGGTATCTGCCCTGAGCACCTGACAGCAAGGGAGGACTCCAGGGCCTCTGGAATTGGGTTGTAACTTGGTTGCTCCGTGGAGGTGGTTGTGAAAACACTCAGCTGTGTGTCAGTGGGAAACCGGGTGACTCAGACATCCCTGCAGCTCTTTCCCTGCTTTCCCTCCTCTGTGATCTCCATTCATGCCTCACAGCATCCCTCCCTGCAAGAGGCCTGAGCAGGGCTATAGGTTTGAGCTGCATTTCCTGGGGTTTGTGGCTCTCCATGAAAGCAGCACAGTCATCCCCCACCACATTCCTTCCCTGTCCCATGTGCCCAACACCAGGCCAGGGCAGGGCTCACCCTCTGGCCCCGACCAAACCCCCTCCTGACACAGTGACCCCGATCCCAGCCCGGCACGAGGGCAGGGAGCCCAGGGTGTGGGATGTCACCCAGGGGAGCAGGGGCTGCTCTGGGCAGGCCCCAGCACCCCACAGGGTGTTCAGGATTGGGGGATTTGCCCTCAGAGCACAGGAGCTGCTGATCTGAGAGCCCTGGGTTGCCCATGGGCACTAAATCCTGACTGATTCACTCTCCATTGCCACAGGTGAGGAGAAGAATTCAGTGTAACTGATAAAAGTCACACTTGCAGGAGTAGCAGACAGAGAGGAGCTGGGCTGGACAGGAAAGCTTCAGGAATTCCTGCCAACAAGGCAGCCAAGCCTCCTGCCAGCTGTGGGCCAGAGCTTTGGGAGTGTTGTCCTTGCTCAGCAGCTCAGCCTGAGGTACAGCAGGCTCCCCAGCTGCTGGGCTGGACCTGCTGCAGCTGAAGCTCTTCAAGGACCAGAAAAATGCAAATCCTGATCCTTTTGTGAGAACCTCTGAGAGCTTCACATCCTTCAGGGTTTTCTGTATTAAAAACTAGAGAGACACTCCTGGGTGGAGCGCAGAGACTCCTGGATGGAATATCACACTGTCAGGGGGCAGGGTTAGATGGCATATTAGGAAAACACTCTTCCCTGTGAAGGTGGGGAGGCCCTGGCACAGGTTGCCCAGAGAAGCTGTGGCTGCCCCATCCCTGGAACTGTCCAAGGCCAGGTTGGACAAGGTTTGGAGCAACCTGGGCTAGTGGAAGGTGTCCCTGCCTATGGTTAGAAGACGAACTTTAAGGTCCCTTCCCAACTCAAACCATTCTATGATATAAAGACTCTGTACACACAACACAAGGAACTCTGTCTGCAGCAGGGAAATGCAGCTCCTTTCACTTTGCAAACAGCAGCACAAAAGCACTCACAGGATTTCTTGCACATGCCGACTTGTTGAATCAGTGAGGCACCTTCCCCTCTCCCAGGAACCCTTTAGACAAACACACAGGTGGTTGACACCTCATGTTTTCAGCCTGGGAATCCCTCAAGCCCAGCCTGGCACCCACAGCCTGGTTACCTGTCCCTACAGAGAGACAATGACTGACAGGCTGTGGAGTCACCGGTCCCTGCTCTGCCTTTGTCTCCTGGTTTGTAAGCACTAAACGAAACCCTCCTGCCCAAACACTCCAGCCCAGCCCAGCGTATCACAGCAGTGAAAACTGTTTACAAAATGCTCTGCTTCCTTTAGCAAGGACTTCCTGGGGCATTAAATACATAAATTACCAGGAAAGACCAGAAATGGCCGTTTAAACCTGTCAGCAACTTCAGCATGTTCCCAAATAATGCAAGCACTGTAGTTCAGTGGAGTCACTCAGCGAGCTGTAACACAATGCTCTGAGCTTTCTAGTCCTTCTCCTTTTAAATATTACTTTGCCAGCCCTTTCCAGCCACTCAACAGATTAAAGAAAAAATAAAACCAAACCCACCCACACACACAACAAAACCACAAACAAAAAAACCGCCAACAAACCCTTATTTACAGCGCTGGGGTTGAATAAGTCAGGACCAGAGATCCAGCGTTTCCAGCGATGAAAGGACACCGCCAGCGAGGGAACAATCGCTCAACAGCCGCGCCGAGTTCTCTCCGGGGAGGGAACAACGCGCCAGCTCAGCCCCAGCCCCGTCCCTTCGAGATTTCCAATTAATGGAACAACTGCTCGAGCACCAGCCGAACAGGGCGAGGGCATCTGCTCTCCGTTTCTCCCCGGCTCAGAGCTGCCCATGAAGAGCTCCGCGTTTGCCGCGGTAGGCGAGCACAAACCCGGAGTAACCCCGCGCACAAACCCGGGGCAACCGCGCCCAGAAAGGGGTGTTCGCACCGGGAGAAGGGCGCAAACGGGGAGGGGGAAATCGGTGGTAAATCAAGGGCGATTCCCCCGCCGCGGGTACTCACGGAGGATGCTGCGGGCTCGGGGCGCTCCCGCGGCCGCTCCGGCTCCTTCCCCCGGCCGGGGCTCGCCCGGCGCCCCTTGCCCGGCCCGGGGACAGCCCGGGGACAGCCCGGTGCCGCTGTCGCTGCCGCCGCAGCCCCGGCACGGCCCCGGCACGGCCCCGCCGCCCGCAGGTGCCTCCCCGGGGCCGCCCAGCCCGGCCCGGCCCCCGGCGCCGCCTCCGCGGGTGCCCCCGGCACGGCCGGGCAGCGGCTGGGAGGGGGATGGATGATGGAAGGCTCTGGGATACGATTCCTCCCCCCTCCCCAGCTCACAGCCAGAGCGCCGGAGATCTGGGAACAGCCCGACTCCCGCGGCGCTTCAGTGCCCAAAGGTCTTCCAGGCACTTCGGGGGAAGGATCCCAAACGCGTCCATCCCGGGTGGTTCTGGCCACTCGTCAGGATCAAGCTGGAAAGGAATCCTTGCCTTTAACCCGTGCTCCGATGGCTTTATCCTGCGTTTCCCTCTAAAGAGTGGGGAAGAAGCGTGTGACCACAGTCCCTGTCTGGATTTTTCCTGTGGAAATCCCACTGATAAAAGGGATCTGCCCCCTGCCTAGACCTGATGCTGCTCCCACGGGAAACCAGAAAACCACATGAACAAGCCACAGCCCTCAGTCCAGGCTCAGCTCGTGGTTTAGGGTTGTTGTGCAGATGTTTCTCCCCCCGTCCTCCAGTTCAGCTTCCCCAGCTGCAACCAGAGCCACCATCCCTGCAACAATCCATCTGAAACACATGGAGGGAACCTGCCCCTTACAAAGTCCTGCCTCCACATGCAAAGGCAGCAACAGGGGCATCCCAACTGTCCATGAACATTTGCAGTGGATTTCTTGGGAAGACCAGAGTACGGCACAGCCTGAAAAGCTGGGATGAGGAATGAGGTGCTTCCTTAATTCACAGCTCTCTGCTTCTTCCTGGGTGAGATATGTTCACTCTGGGTCTGTGCACGATGATCTGCAGGTTCACCACATAAAGCACTTTGGGGAGCCATTGACAAAGATGTCAAATATAAACCTGAACTTACACTTATAAACCTGAACTTGGATTTATAAACCTAAACCTGGATTTATAAACCTAAACTTGCCTTGGTGGCAGTCAGTGCTTGCACCAAAGAGAAAGCTACAGCCACATGTCCCATTTGAGAAGCTGGTGCTCAAGTCCAAGTGAAGACATAAAGAACAACCAGACCAGCACAGACCACCACAGGGAATGAGAACTCACCTCCTCAAGAAACTTCTGTGTTCCCAATACTGGTCATGTTCAGTTTGGTGCCCACCATGGACTGGTTTCTACACTGCACCCCAAGCTGAACCCCACAGAGGCTTTCTCACCAGAAACCACATCCAATTATTCAGCAATTTTCCTGTACAACTACAAAGACCCACATTAGTCACTTCCAGCTCAATCCTTTTGCCTCAATCCCTCCCCGTGCAGCTCCTTAAAACCAGAGACTGAAGTCTCAGCAGGGATTACTCACCAGTCATCCTTTCAAGGGAATAAATTTTGCTTGATTGGTTTCTTTTCAATTACTGCCTCATCCTGCATGAACAAGAAGGAACATGAGGCTCTCCTGGGAACAGGAGTGGTTTTCCAGCCACGTACCTTCCCTGGGCTGTATCTCTGGAGAGCACAAGGGGCTTCTTTCAACAGTGAGCAACCATCACTTGGAAGAGGTATGAATGCAAGTTAATGAAAGTAATTAATAACTCAATTTAAATAGTGTAAGAAAGAAGGAACCAGCCTCTGTGACTGTTGGATGGATGTGGAAAGAAGAAAATGTTCTGTGTTGCTACCAAGCATTGGCTGGATGATGTTCCTCCCTTGCAGAGATGCAAGTTCAAAGGAGAATTCAGATCTCCTGCTTCCCACTGCTTTGTCCTGAACAAGGACATTCCCTCTGGGACAGGTACCTGAGGAAAGACAGACCCCTTGCTTTAGAGAAACCCCCCCTGGAGCTTCCGTTCAAAGTCTCATCCACGTGAGAAAACCAATCCAGAGGATGCCCCTGGGAGGAACTGGCACACAGCAATCCCAGCTGGAAGCAGCCCAGTGTCATTGTTCCCAGGCACCACAGTGTGCTCAGCATCCTTTAAGCCATAAAACCCACCTGGATTTATGAGGTGCTGCCCCTGCCCCGACGCTCAGGAGGGTGTGAACATCCACGGGGACGCCACGGACGAGCCCAGCAAAGGCAAATGTGAGGCAGCAGAGAGGGAGGGTGGGACTTTCCCAAGTGTTTGCTTGGGAAGAAATCCCTCGCCAGGTCCTGAATTTGTAGCCCTTTACCATTAGCTACAGTAATAAACCCACACACTGGGTTTATACACCGTTAAATGTGTAAATACATATAAATGTTTATACACTGTTGTGTATAAACTGCTGCCAACACCAGTTACCCAGTTTACAGCTCCTCAGCCACCAATCCTGATCTATTCCTGTTAGAGGAGGACAAAAGGAGACACTGGGGTGCTCCAGAACAATCCTGACAGAGTCAGTGAACGCTGAAAGACGTAACAGGACTCTCAATTAACTACAAGGGCTGCCACAGCCTTACAGAAGCCCTAAGGAAGATAAATTCCCCGAATTTAATCATGGAGAAGGTCTGGACTCCTCCTGGAACACCAGGGCAGTTCACAGCACCAGTTTCCTGCACTGAGCAGGGCAGGGCCTGGGACTGTCTTAGTGAGAACAAAGAGAGAACAAAGGGAGAGCAGAGATATTGCAACAGACTGACCAGAAATTCATTATTAGAGTCTGGAATTGTGTTGTGAAACCGGGACCTCAGCACTCTACACATCCCCACAGCCTCAAAAGCCATTCCCAGACAGCCCTGCAAGGGCTGGAGCTGAGCTGAGGGGACCTGTCCCAGCAGGAGAGCACAGCCCAGGCCCTGCCTGCTGGGCCGAGCTGTCCCGACAGGGACACGGTCCTGCACAGTCACCAAGGACACACAATTCGGTATTTTGATATTTTATGTAACAGCAAGCCAGGAGTGTCCTTCCCACTGCCTCACCCTGGGACTGCTGATAGCTGGGATATGTTCAGTGCAGCAGGGAAATCAAACATTCCCTTCCACAAGCCTGAACATGCCAAGGTGTTAAAAAGGCGAGAGCCCTCGTTCAGAGGAGGATTTTAACACATCAGGTAACGTTGGAACACGGTGTGGTTTTAGTGGGACTCAGCACAAACACAACCTAAAGCTAAAATGCCCAAAAAAGCCCAAGGTCCCACCCATCCCTCCACTCAGATGGGCACATGGTAAGACACAACTCCAGTCCTGGTCTTTTTTAATTGAGATAAATGAAACAGAGCCTGTGAAACCTTCCTGGAGCTGAGTGTGAGGTCAGGGCCAGCCCTGTGTCACACCCCCTCGGGCTGCAGGGGCAATACCTACAGGAGAAGGAGTGTTTTATCCTGCTCTGCATTTTCTCCAAGGGAATGAGGCTTGGCTGGGGTCTCCTTCCACATTAAACACACACTGGACCATAAATCTCTCCTAGCAAGTTTTCCACTCAGAGCAGAGCAAGTAAACAAAGCCTGGCAAGATGAACATAACAGTCTTCTGTTCTGGGCTAAATAATCCAAAAGCAGACAAAAATGGAAGTGAAACCTTTCAAGGAATAAATGAAGCAATAGGCATTTTATCCATGAGGCCTTTCCAGGGGAAGCAGTTCAGCAAAGAGGTAGAACGAGGAGTTGTAATCACAAGTTTGCAAAAACAGGGTTTGTTCTCAGCTGTTGGGAAATAAAACCAAACCACCCTCAGCAACTGTAAATCCAGAAGACACAGGCCCAGAGAAACACCACACATTTCAGCTGCTCCTCGAGGAAGCTTTAAAGGGATCTGGGGTATTTATTTATACAAAGTGCAGGCTCGGAAAGGGCCGAGCTGGTGCCCCTGTGCCAGCCCTGCTGCTAAAAATAGCACCCAGCAGCAGGTCAGTGATTCAGAGAAACAGGTTCTGGTGGTTGTCACCGAGTCATGGCATGCAGTAAATAAAGCAGAGCTGGAGTTCATTCACTCCCAAGGCAGGTGTCACCATGGAATGACCAGAGCCACTTCTGGTACCGACCCATGGCCAGGACTCACCTGCTCCTGATGTCACCCAGGACAAAAGCCCATGGTTTAGTTTTGTGGATCAGTGCATCCCATATTATTTCTGTAAAGTCTGGCCCTTTCTCTCCTGTGGAAATGGGTCTTGGGAGATTTTTTGAAAGCAAGGAAATATTTCTCTTAATTGCAACAAAATCTTCGCAGAGCTCAGGACTGGCCCAAGTGTCAAACTCCTCTGAGGACTGACCTGGGCTGTGAGAGGCCCCCAAACCCACCAAAAACACCCTCAGTCCCTCCTGCAGCCCAGCAGCTCCCAGGATATTTCTGCTGAAACCCCCAACTCCTTCACTTCCCTGATAATTTCCACATGGAAAACCACAAACAGTTATTGGGAGCGTTCACTCAAGGCAGACACCACCATTAAAAATCTTATATATCAAACTTGGTCCAACCTCTGGAAAACAGCTAAAATCCCAAGTGTGAATGGCACTGCATTGTTTTATTTTAAGTGTCTTTACACAATGAGAAGTGCTGGAATGTTCCACATTTTACACGTTTACACATCGACAACGTCACACTTGCTTTGCCTTAGAAAACTGTTTCTGAGGGTTTTCCACTTAATTCCTACTCACAGCACCTTCTACAGTGGGTAGAAATCAAACAGCTCACAAAATGTAAACAGCACAGAGAATCCAGACAGGGCTTCTGGAATTTTAAAAATCCACAAGCCTGATGGGTAATACAGGGTTTTGTTGGGTTTTTCCCCTTTGTTTTGGTACCACAGAACAGTGAGACAGAGAAGTTGGTCTTTGAGTGATTTTAATACCTGAAGAGATACATAAATATCACACCTGTGGAGGCAAGGTGAACAAACCCCATTTTCCTACCTTTTTAATCTCTACTATTCCTGCCTCTGGAACAAGGACCTGCCTGCAGGATCCCACTTTGCAACGTGAAGCTGGTGGTGGGAGGGATCACAATCCAGGACAACACAAGAGCTGGAAACTGCTCCATCCTTGTGAATCCCTGACCATTCCTTTTCTCTCTGCTGTCAGCCAAGTGAGAACCCTTTGGAAAGTTCAATAAGCACGTCGTGAACGACTGAACCACACTAAAATGAACCCGAAAAATCTGAATTTCTGAACGACTCAAATGATTTCTACACACAAACATCAGCAGCCTGGTTTGTTCACAAATCATTTTATCCTCTGAAATAGAAAAAAAAAAAAAGAAGAATCTGTCTAGACTAAAAAAGTTTGGCTATAAAATAGCATAAAAGCACAGGAGCAGGTGTTGTTATACCAAGGCATATTTTCCTCCTACTAAAAAACACTTAACACAAGATCACAAAATTAAAGATCTGTATTCTAAAAGATGCACCCTGCTCTCAGAGGCAGCAGATGCTCTGCCAGACACGCAGGATGCCACACAGGAAAACAGCAAACAAGGGCTGAAACTGCATAAGAACTGGCTAAGCCAGGCAACTGATTGTCTTTGAGAATACAAAACAGACT